ATCACCAACTAAACTAGTGGGCGGATCGCTTTTGGGCGGAGTGCTTTCGAAGTCCTGCTCAGCAACCAGCGCACTTTCGTTGTGAAAGCGCCACACCTCGCTTCCTGGACAATAAGTAACTGCTTCGTGTGGCACATGAAACTTCCCCGGCGCGCTCCCTCTTTTTCTTTATTGCTTCCTTTATATCACAAAAAAGCCAAGTGTATCCGAGAGAGTGAATGACGAACCACTATCGACCAACCACTTATAAGGTGTCAATTGAATCCCTTTTGATGAAGTTCAAGTGTCCACAAAGCTCCTTTTCGAAACTGTGTAGCAACGCACTTTACCATAAGCGAACACGGTAGTGATCGAATGATACAAAGCAAGGAATGTATAATTGGAGAGCATAGGAACAATCTTCCACCACGTCTTCTAAGAGAAGCCACAGCCAGTTGCCTGAGTCCTGTCATTCCGCTTATTCAGCGATTCACAGCTGCACTATGTGGAAACTTTTTGGTGAAATTTTCGAAAAAAATACGCAAAAACTTTACAAACCTAATACTTTCAAATCAACCTTAAACTGGTGAAAAACTATCTGCTACTGGTGGTACAACCACTACTGTCACTACCGCTATTATCACCGTGATTGCCATTATTATGACTGCCGTTATTATGATCCTGCCAATGTGAGTGTCTGTTCTCTTCTGTGATGCTATCCCTGGCAACGACCGATTGGAGAACAGAGTCAGTATCCACCTTGAAATGAACATATAGAAAGTGAGGTTACGCAAATTCTGTGAAATATAATAGTAGAATCTATTCGTGGCAACTCTTTGACGTTTTTTCTTCTACTGCAGTGCAGGGGAACCTCCAAGTATAGTAAAAGTCAGGACCGGCAACCGAACTATATCTTCGGTACCTCAGAGAACTTCTGAAAAAAAAAGCAAAACACTCACATGAACGTTCGCAAATGGATCCTGAAGCAATTGATCAGCGGACTTCCGGTCGTCAGGATTGAACACAAAGCACGAATCCAAAAAATGTTTCAATATCCAACGTATTGGATTGGGATACGCTGGCAAACCTCCTTGACAAACCTGCAAAAGTGAAACTGAGATAATAGAAAGAAGCAATCGAATATACCTCGCTATTATTGGATATCGACCCAGTCGATTATGAAGTGCTATGAAAAACTTTTCGCTAACCCGCATCGTTATTTGGAAGGGATGCATATCTGGCCATGGTCGCCGACCGGTGCTCTAAAAATTCATTTCAAATACATCATCCAGTTGTCCGAACAATCTTTGCAATTTCAAAAGAGCAGTATGTAAATTGAATGAAAATGAATGTCAGACCTACCATTTCCAGCACGACGCAGCCAATACTCCAAATATCAACTGCTCTGCCATACCCTCGGTACTTTCCGTCCTCCGCCATACCTCCATAGGTTAATACTTCGGGCGCCTGAAAACAAAGAAAATCCTCTCGATTCAAACCGCTCGTGAAATGGGTTGAAATTTTGAAAGCTCAGAATCGGATGAGTGTTCAAGTTCAATGCCCTACCCATCAACTTTACGTTTGGTAGAAAATCGGGGACCAATGTGTGCCTACTATTGGAGTCGTAGCTTAAATTTTCCTGGCCTCAAAACTCAACGAGTATCAAAACCTCATCCACACACCATGTACTGCACAGTTCCCGCATACTCGGCAATCTCTCCATAAACTGTCGCTTGATCGCGTAAGCGTACTGAGCATCCAAAATCACCAAGTTTCAGCACACAATGGAGATCCAGGAAAATATTAGCTGGTTTTATGTCACGATGGACTACCTAGAATCAGTTGTTTGTAATCAATTATGCCGTACTTCCGTGAATTATTCCTTCAAATTATCACCTTTTGGCTATGCATATAAGCAACTGCTCGGAGAAGGCTGTTGGTGTAGCGCCTGACAAGCTCCTCATCTAGACCTTCACGGCAGATCCTTTCAAGCGTACCCTCCGAGCAGTACTCCATCATAATTAATACTTCATCCTGAAAATAGGGATATCAGCAAAGCAACATAATACTTCGTTCGGAGCCCTTCACTAAACGTCGTCCCAAGAAAGGAAAAAAACCCGTACCTGCCGAACTTCACACCCGTAGTATTTGACGAGATTTTTGTGGTTGAGATTACGGAAAATATCCACTTCTCCTTTGAGAATCTGCAAAAATATAAGCGGAATATATAAATTTTTAAGAAAAAAAAACGAGCAATAGAAGAAATGTAAGAAAGCAACCTTTAAAACGTCTCTCCTGACACGTATCTCCTTCACTGCAATCACACATTGGGCATCTACGTTGAGAGCTTTGTAGACGGTTCCGAAGGTACCGCCGGCTAAATAATCAAGAGAAATTGGCAACCCTGTTACTCGTAAAGTTGCAAATATTGGATTGCTAGTAAAACTACTCAAATTGAAAGACTTGCACTATCTTCGAAAAGTAGTGCACGGAGAGCGAACGCACCTAATTTCTCCAGAATCTGATACTTGAACGGTGCAGTTTTCGATGGGTCCATGTAGTTCTCCATTCTGAACTCATCATGCTTCCTCGTCACCACACGTCCCATAGGATAAGCAGACTGCAATGAACAATTTTTTTGTAGCAGATAACTGCAAATCAGACGAAGAAAAATCAGAGGCAGTTACAATACTTGAAGAAAACCCTTGTGGAAAAATGGAAGTATAATATATCCGGGACCGATCGTATCGGTTTTGCGTCATAAGGTACGCCCTTGGGCCGTTCACCGTAAAGATCATGGCTGCTTCAATGCAAGAGCAGCTTCGTCATGTTGGGACGGATAGACGAGAAATTGAGACTCATGTCCCTCATACGGCCCTGCTCTTCAACGGTCGATGGTGCCGTGTCATCGAGCCTGCTACTTCCTGACCCACTCCCACAACCCCGCAAAGCTCAAAAGTCAATCAAACAAGAGTGAGGGAGTGAGGAGGAATGGTTAGCTTCACACACTGCGAGCCCTGCCCTACCGTACCCTTCTGTAACTCTGAATATACCTTCAAAAAATCAAGAATACGATCCTTCCCATCCAACTTGCTACAACGGACGGGTGATCCTGTTTCCAGGACTACAAACCTGGAAGAAACTCTGCTTTTCTACCATTGCCATAAGTGACGTCCCCATTCGTTCTTCATCATTTCCGACTATTTCGTCCTGATGCTCAAACTTTTCGTACTCCAACGCGGGATCCCACTTCAAAATTTAAACAAGCAGCGGAAAAAAGCCCCATTTAGGCAGAAATCAACTGTATGCTTTGTACTTTTTTCATGTCGCCACATAGCCCCCAAAAATTCTGAAACATTTGTATTCTACTACCCCACTCTGCAGTCCTTGAATATGCTTTTCAATATGCCATGGAATCAGTGAACGGGGGACATTTGTTATGGGAGTAGGGGGGAAACCGGTTTTAGGGCAGAGGACGATAGGAATGAAGCGGACGTGCAGATGAAGAAATGATGAGGATCAAGGAATGATCGGAGGAAGTATGATAAGGAAGACTATATAAGAGATGTGGTCATTAATAAATGATTCACTCCACTGTCTCTAGTCGCACAACTGGCGATCAGGAGACAAGCTCACCGAGGAGGCCGAAAACCGAAAAGCCGAGGAGGCCGAACATCGGAAAGCCGAGGAGGCCGGCACAACAAGTAGCGGAGGAAGCTGAATAACCAAGGAGTTAAGGAGGCCGACGTGAGCACGAACGACAAGGACGTTAACCGCCAGGAGGAGGCAGCCATCCTGAGAACAGCAGCCTGATCAACTGCGAATAATAAGGGATGGACGACATCAAAGGCGGTAATTTGGGGACCTCCACCAGGCCAGTGGGAGTGCGAGAGGTCTCGCCGGCTGGCCAGGACCCAGCCGCGACCTACGATATTTATCGAGGTCGCAGTCCAGGGCCATATGTGCCCGGGACTTCCTGGAACACCTGGTGGAGGCTTTTCCAAAATTTTTTGGCCTTACGGAGGGTAACCGATGAGGGCGATAAACGCCTCATCTTCCTCCAAGAGGTCGGTGCCTCAAATTATGAATTATTAGAATCCTTGTTGCAGGGGAAGGAGCCCGAAACGGTCACCCTGTTGGAGTTGAAGCAGGCAATGGAGCAGCAGTTTCAGCCGAAGAAGCTGCTCATGGCGGAGCGCTTTGCGCTAATGTCGAAAGCGCAGAAGACGGGCCAGACCTTACAAGAATATTATGCGGAGATACAGAAGGCTGCGAACTCGTGTGGATTCGAGAAGGTGAAGGATATGCGGGATACGATGGTGGCGATGGTATTCATAGGTGGGTTAGCCTCTGTAGAAACGAGGAAGCGACTGCTCGAGAAGGAAGAGCTGACGTCTAAAGAAGTGTTGGAGGTGGCGGAAGCGTTTGAGAGAGTGGGAAAGAATGCACCGCATTTGAAGCAGGGAGTAGTGGAAGTAGGAGTGGCAGCGATTGCGTCGGGAGAGTTCAAAGCCCCTTCTCGAGCGAGGGCGGAAAAACGGGAGCGCAGTTCTGTTCGTCAAGCAGCACCAAGCTCTCTGAGGAGTAAGAGTAAAACGGTAAATAAGCGGTCCCGTGTTCCGCCCAATGGACCGCAACAGTGCTGGGTATGTGCAGGACGTGGACACATAGCAAATCAATGCTTCTTCAAGGGTAAAGCATACTGCAATTTGTGTTCACGGCCGGGGCACTTACCCAAGGCGTGTCGGATGAGGAAATTCCCGACCAGGTTCTCCCGCCAGGTACACTGGTGTGCGGAGCAAGATGATTCCGATGATGAGGGAAATCAAGAAGTAACGATTAGCAATGTGCAGACAGCGAGATGCCGGAATCATGTAGAGAATTCCTCGCAAAGAAACAGGACCGATACAGGGCACACGGGAAGGCTCGAAGAACCTTTGATTATTAGTAATAGAGTTACCTCAAAAGCACGTGTGAGTATAGAACCAGCCATAATGCTTCCCATCATAGTGAATGGACGTACCGTTGATTTCGAGTTGGATACCGGTGCCTCTGTATCAATAATTGACGAGGCGACGTGGTCGATGATAGGAAAACCAGAAATGAGACCGACCAAGCTAGAAGCGACGGCTTACAATAATAGCCCTATCAGTTTTGAGGGTCGATGTACAGTGGAGTTACAATTTAAGGGACGTGTGATAACAATGGAAGTGTATGTGTTACGCACAGCTAGCCACCCATTGTGTGGCAGAGATATGATCAGGGGACTACAAATAGATTGTGGACCTCATGTAAGAAGTGTGGAAGGCAAGAGGCCCTACACTAAAGAGCAGTTACGGGAAAAAATGAAGAATTTATTAGAAGAGAACCAGGTATTATTTCAAAAAGGACTAGGGAAATGTACGACGGCAAAGGTGTCACTGAAGTTGAAACAAGGATTAGAAAAGCCTAAGTTTTGCAGAGTAAGACCAGTTCCTCTGGCATTGAGGCCGAAGGTGGAGGCTAAGTTACAGGAGCTGGTAGAGAATGGTACTTTGACTAGGGTGGAACATTCGGAATGGGCTACACCCTTAGTGGTAGTACCTAAGCCAGGAGGAAAAATAAGGTTGTGCGGAGATTATAAGGTGACGGTAAACCCGCAGCTGGACATCAACCAGTATCCGCTCCCGAAGCCCGATGACTTGTTTCATATGTTGAATGGAGGGCAGAAATTCTCCAAAATGGATTTATCTGATGCGTATATGCAACTAGAATTAGAACCGGAATCTAAAAAGTATACTACAATTAATACTCATAAAGGAATGTTTGTGTATAACAGAGTTCCGTTCGGCATAGCCTCGATTCCAGCAATATTTCAAAGGATCATGGAGACAACATTAGCAGGAATAGAGGGGGTCATCGTATATTTAGATGATATTACAGTAACTGCTCCGGATGACGCCGCGCATTTGGCGCGGTTGGGAGAGGTGTTAAAAAGATTGAGAGAAGCGGGATTCAAGTTAAAACGGGAAAAATGTGAATTTCTTAAGGAGCAGATGGAGTTTTTAGGGCATATTGTAGATGCGCAAGGAATACGCCCATCCCCAAAGAAGGTACAGGCAATGTTGAATATGCCTGAGCCAAAAAATTTAAAAGAAGTTGAATCATTCTTAGGAATGGTACAGTATTATGGCAAATTTATCCCAAATTTGTCTACATTAGCGGCGCCCTTAAATGGACTCAGGAAAAAGGGAGTGCCGTTCTGCTGGGAGGAGGCACAGAAAAATGCTGTTAAACAAATAAAACAGCGATTAACGGAAGCGGACATCCTTACACATTATGATCCACAGATTCCGGTAGTGTTGGCAACAGATGCCTCGGAATACGGTTTAGGAGCGGTAGTATATCATAAGATGCCGGACGGGAAAGAAAAGGTGATAGCATATGCGTCGAGGACATTGACAAAAGAAGAGAGAAATTATTCGCAAATAGAAAAAGAAGCGTTAGGGATTGTGTATGGAGTCGAAAAATTTAATCAGTTTTTGTATGGCCGAAAGTTTACGTTGCTGACGGATCATCAACCGTTGGTGAAGATATTTGGGCCCAAAAATGGAATACCTACAATTGCAGCAAAACGATTGCATCGCTGGAGTCTTCGATTAATGATATATTCATTTGACATAGAGTACAGAAAAACATCTGAATTTGGGAATGCAGATGGATTATCCAGATTACCAGATCCGAGAGAGTTGCCAAGTCCACAGATGGTGGTAAACGAGGTGGCAGAGAAGCAGATGACGGCCGAAGCATGGAAAGACATGATATTCAATGAGCAAGAGGTAGCAAAAGCGACACAAGAAGATGAGATATTGCGTAAAGTGTATAAATACGTAATGCACGGTTGGCCCCAAAAGGTTAAGGAGAACGAGTTGAAGCCGTATGAGAAAAGAAAGACAGAAATAAATATTTATAAAGGTTGTTTAATGTGGGGCAGTCGTGTGGTGATCCCGAAGAAGTTCCGCAGGAAGGTACTAGAAGTGCTACACCATAGCCATTATGGAAGGAATCGCATGACTGCGTTGGCTAGGAGGAAAGTGTGGTACCTGGGAATTGATAAAGATATACAGAGGGTGGCACAGTCGTGTGCTATTTGCGCTACCTTCGGGAATGAAATGAGAAAAACACCATTGCATCCCTGGGAAACGCCTGCGGGGTCTGGCAAAGGTTACATTTGGATTTTGCGGAAACCAGTGACGGGAAGCGATGGCTAGTAATAGTGGATGCAAAATCAAAGTGGCCCGAAGTCGTGAAAATGGGGGCAACCACGGTAGAAAAAACAATAGAAAAGTTAAAGGATATTTTCAGTATCCATGGGTTGCCAGAGCAGATAGTGGTGGATAACGGGCCACAGTTTATAGCGAGAGAATTCAAAGAATACTGCATTAGGAGGAATATAGAGTTAATTTTCATTCCGCCTTACCATCATAATTCTAATGGAGAGGCGGAAAGATTTGTGCAAACATTTAAGAAGGGATATTATAAAGGAAAGAAATCGGGCAAAACGGTAGAAGCGGCAGTGAGAGATTTATATATTTGAATATCGGGTTACCGAGCACCCGATCACGAAGTCCTCCCCTGCGGAAATGTTGATGGGACGATCATTAAGAACGACGTTAGACTTAAAGAAAGCACCAAGTAACCCAGTAGTCACCCCCCAGATGGAACACATGAAAGAGCGTTACGATAGACAGACACAGGAAAGGAAATTCGTAGAAGGACAGCAGGTGTACGTGCGCAATTATGCGGACAGACATGAAAAATGGACCCCAGGAATAATTTTGGAGGTGGTAGGATCGAATACGTATCGTGTACATTACGGTACAGGGTGTAGGCTGGCACATGCGGACCAATTGAAGAGGAGGGTTTCCTTCTGGGAGGAGGAGGACCCTCGGAGGAGGCGGAACAAAGAGACAAGGTCAGGGGTCGCTGTGGAACCCAAGTTAGGGGAAGAAGTGGATAAAGGCAGGAAGGACTCACCGAGAAGATCGACGAGGAAGAGGAAAATGACTGATAAAATGAAGGATTTTGTAGAGAGTAAACGATCGAGGGTAGGTAAACAAGCAGTGCGGATAGCATGGATAGGGATGATATGCCTAAGGACGGGCATAAAAGGGTTGGCTGAGGGAGGTCAGCCTCATTTTGAGTTGGCGAGGACCAAAGAAGATTGGCCAGATGAACCTACCAAACGGAATTGTGCTGCTGCCGTGGACAACAACTTCGATGACGCCGCCAACGCCCGTGATGGCACCTACTCCGGTTCCGGCACCAGGGTGGGGGTCGGGGACACCCACGGTGGTGTGCCTCGGCTCCCCCCTCCCGGGTTCGATGATGTCGCCGCCGAACAATTCGCCACCTACGGTGGTATTTGTACAACCGGTGAGTGGCTCGTTCGAAATGAGAGCGGTTCCAATAAACTTAAAACATATTTCAGCCGGCGCGCCCACAGGGCCGGCGGACCCCGAGGTCCTATAGTTGGGCGCGTCGAGAGCGCGTGCGACGAGCAAGGTGGAGAGGGCCACCGCCCAGATATGACGATGAGAGTCGTGCGACGAGCATTGCCCGTCGTCAGGAAGAGCCCGTGCAGGGTCGAAGGGATGTGGAGGTTGAAGGAACTTTGGAGAGACGGGCACCCCTAAAAGATGAAGATAATGATCCACAGTGATTGTAGAGTTGTGCATTATAAATAAAGTTTGAATAACAAATAATGTATACAGGCGATGGGGTGAGGTACATAATGAGTGACCTGGTGGTCACTACGGGGGAATGTTATGGGAGTAGGGGGAAACCGGTTTTAGGGCAGAGGACGATAGGAATGAAGCGGACGTGCAGATGAAGAAATGATGAGGATCAAGGAATGATCGGAGGAAGTATGATAAGGAAGACTATATAAGAGATGTGGTCATTAATAAATGATTCACTCCACTGTCTCTAGTCGCACAACTGGACCTACTTATTCTTGGGTTACCATAAATTCGCATAATCGTGATCTTCTACGATACTGCAAATGCAGAGTGACTGAAATCAATCAATCTAGGAGTAATCGAAATCTGCGGGTCCATCGTAGATGCTTCCACTTCCACAGAAGCATACGGTCAGAAACTGATAACCTACTCTTTTTGCCACCTTCGCGTCTGTTTCTAATGCGGCAGCTTCAAGTCTCGCCCGACGAGATTCAAGCGACACTTTTTTCAGCTTTGACGAGATCTCATCTGAAGTTTTTCGCGAGCTCATCGTGGAACTTCGACTTCTGGGTGTCACCGTTATAGCATCCTTGTCACCAAGCACAAGTCTTTTACATTCTTCAACATCAGCTTTCAGAACCTGAAAGAGCTTCAGCTCATTTCATCTGGAACCCGAAAAAAAAATGAAACTGTCTTACTTGAAATTGGTAGTCCAGAAGGTACTCCGTATATTTTGGGTCAGTGAGAAAATGAATGAAATTGAACGCATGACTAGCCCAAAGCGGTATATGAGGAGATGGTTGTGGCTTCATAATGGCTACCTAAAGTATAGAAGGCAATCCAAAAAACTAAAATCAATGACACGTCAATGTAGGTACCAACATACCAGCTCTTTCCACTGATGTATGACGTCGAGACCTCGCGATACCAACTGCATACCAAAATCTGCCAAATACGAATCGCCTACATATCGACATACTTCCCGATGTAGCTAAATAACAGAGAGTTTAAAAAAAAAGTGCGGTAAGTTATGTAAAACTGCGGACGCTCAGAATTTGATGAGATCTGGGTGATAAATCCGAAAATCTACAGAACCACAAACTGGGCGGTTTCGTGACAGCCGCGAATCTTATATGACTGGCGATTGCACGAATCAATCACATCACTCGAAAACCCTTCAACAACTGTAAAAGGGGAACATAAGGGCACAACATAAGACGTAATCATTCAGCATGTCGAAGACATACTGCGTTTTAGCTTTTTTGGCCGTGTGGTACCGGGGCGATTTTGCGAGCGTGATCACCTCACCTTACATTTGCGGGTTTCGAGCCCTAAATATGCAACTCGGGTGGGACAAATGTTTTCATTAATGTTCAATGTGTTCAACCTACTGGGAATTTCAGCAATAGAAGTTTGACCAAAATGGCGCGTTGTTGCAATGTGAAAGCGAATTTAATTACTTCTTCTGAGTGGTCTCATGATTAATCTGGACGAGACTGTGTGGGTAGAAACACATATCCTCCATTTTAATGGATTTGTATTTACATCTATTGCGCTTTTTTATCTACAAGCCTAAGTTAATAAAGGAAACGAGGGATGAACATTATTGTAAGGTTTTGGAATGCTCTGCCAAAGGAAGGGCTCTTAACATTCTGTGCCATTCATGATGATTTTATTAATGAAGCGATCGAAAAACAAAAATAGTGAGAAAGGGGGCTGAACGAAAAAATGACGAAATGGGATGCGGCTATACGTAAGCTGCCCAGTGTTGTCCAAAGTCGGCCTGCAAGTAGGTTAGACACAAGTTACTGCCGCCTTGCATCAATGTGTTGAGCAGAAATGAAGAGCTTTTTCTGATATACACAGAACCTTTTTGCAAACGCGCTCCAGTACAAACTGCGAAAAGGATGGTTAAACGAGGAAATATTAGGAACATAGTCAGGCTATAGCTACTATAGAAAGCGAAATTGAAGCCTGAATCAGAGTTCAGTCTGAAGGTCACGCATTCTTCCAGGAAATCGGTTAGGTTTCGTTCGAACACTTCAGAGCAAAAGCGCTCGCTATTCCGCTAGCCAGAATGTCTGTCAGATCTAAGAAGGCTTCCTAAAAATATGCCAATAGCAATAAACCCAGACAAGATAATCAAAACAGTTATATTAATGAATATGCTGTAACTTGATTACGGATCGTAATAATATCGTATAGCATACATTATACGAATGCAAAAAAACTTGGATTTCAGGATGGTTCACCGCCAGTTCTTGAGTTCTCGGTCCACGTTGTAATGCGATGAACAAGACGTTAGCATCAGCTCAAACATTCCGGGATATCGCTTTTCCAATCTACAATCCACACCAACAGCACAGACCACATCTGTCTGAAATCACAAAAAGCATTTGACAAAAGCGAGAGATTCACATCAATATAAGTGCTGGTGGCCATGAGAAGAACGAAACAACTTACTCGCAGGTAGTGAATGTTTTCCATTACATTTTCCTCGAGAGTGAGTTTCACTCGCCGGTAATTCCACAACCACCTAGAAACACATTTTAGGCAACACCGCGATCTGACCTGAACTTCTTGACCCGATCACCACGCTAAATGAAACGATATTATTCGCTATTAGATACAAGCAACTTGCCTAAGTTCTTGTTTTGGAAACACAAGAATCCGCCCATATTCAGGTTTTCTTCCTTCAGCAAGTGCAGTGACCAAGTCCTGTGCCAACGCCTTCGATCATAGCATGCCGAGTCGATCAGCACACACACAGCAACTGACTCCTCGCCAAAATCAACCTGTAATCAGGCAGCTATTCCTTGTAAACAAATGAAAACCAATTTGAGAACAAACTAGGCAATAATCAGGACGGAGGGCAGCGAGAACATCTTCCAGAGGCTGTGTCATGACATAGCCAGACGCATCATGAAGGTCCATTAAAGCACCGCGGAAGCAAAGCAACGAGCCTCCCGGAGCGTTCTTTTACCTAAATCAGAGGATAGAATTCGCTCAACGTACGACATGCTGAGAATAACAGCATGTATTCGCCATAATAAATGACACAGAAGAATAATCTTCCTGCACCTCTCTGATTACACTATTGTACGCTCTGAAGGCACTGAACATCGTCGTCTGCTCACGAGTTTGGCTGTAAATGAAGTAAAAATTATACAACAAAGAGTAGCCTAGAGAATTTCAAATGCCCAACAATGCGGGGTCCAACCCCACCTGTCATAGCCGTTGTCAGTCTCGTCAAAACTTCTCTCATCCTCTGACTCACGGACGCCGTGTTTCTCCGAGATTTTGTCCATACTTGTTTCCCAAAACTTCACCACAAGCTCATCCAGCAGATGAGGAAAATAGGTGCTGGAAAAGCTACAGTTTTTCTCCATTTTTTCAAAACAAAACCAACATCAACTCCAAAGCATTCATATCTTACCAGAATGATGACGCGAGCATGTCTAGACCGGAATGAATGTGAAGTGAACATTGAAATGCTGTGCGCCACTCTTCCTCTAACCTAGAAAACAACCTTCCGAGATCGCCATTTTGTGCGATCGAATCACACCAGCGCTCGACGTAGCCGAGGTATTTCTGAAAAACAAACGTGAAAATCGCTGGATGCAGAAACACCGGTGCACTACTTGCCAGAAAATTCAAGCAGAATTCAAACCTCGAATACATCCTTGAGCGTGTTCTCAAAATCCGCCGTACAAAGTTTTCCGTTCCTTCCTTTCGGACAAATAGATTGAATAACGTCAAGAAAAAACAGCTTCGCTCTACAATCGCGGATTATAATGATTCAAACAGTATGCGTAGCTCACTCTGCGAGACTACAGAACGACCTACCGTACAGCCTCATCAACACAATCACGGCAATCTTCAATCAAGGTGTCCATGGTGAGGATGTCCATCTCCGCTCCATCTGGTATTTTCCACTTTGATCTGCAAATCAAGCATTCAACAAAAAAAATGAAACATCGTCCCCAAGAAAACAACCTAACGCTCAACCACTCTCGAGCCAGCTCCAATCGAACCCCGAGAACAAAAATGAACATTGGTCCAACTGAAGGCAAACGTATTGCTTTGGCCTTCTCGCTTGTGAGAGTGTAGTTGAACATCTCATTGTACCGCTCCATCTGCAAAAAAAGCGTAAGTTAACATTCCATGAACCCCTAGACTACGTCTATCTGAAGGAGCAAATGAATTCGAAAATAAATTCCAACCTGAACTGACGTCAGCCGCAACATGGTTCGCTGTCGAGAGGCTGCATGGGCATAACTAGCAATGGGTGGTTGTAGAAGTATGGCAGTCTTCATTATTGTCCTTTCGCAAACTTCCCAAACTCTAGCCACTACCCGCTTCATGCCCTGGAAAAATGACACAAATGTATTAGAAAACATTGGATCAAAAATCAAAATGTACAATTTGGGCACCTGTCTTACTAACTGCGTGGCGTATGCTGTGCATTGTGAATATATCTCAGAGTAAACTTTAAAGGACACTGTTCTAAACAGCTAACAGGGAATGACAAAGACGATAAAATGCACTCAGATGTTGCCATATGAATGGGAAAGAAGATTCTAGAGATGCACATAACAGAGATCAAAAATTTTCAGCGGAATGGGTGATTAGGAAGAAAGTCAAGCATATAACAAACTGAGCGCATTTTTGTGATCTAGGTTTATTGGAATAGGACCTTTCCAACTACGACGGTTCTGGGTAACCATAGAAGACACGGGGAAGTCTAGCCCGTGACAAGAAATGCGGCCGTGTTCCCATCAACCGCAAATGGCAACACTGCCGCAGCTTCTTGAACTGCAGAAACGGCCCATTTTTTTTTTACATTGGTCAAGGGCGACGGACCAAGGTCATTAAGCCGTACCCTGAGGACAAGACTCCGCTTCACGAACGCTTCGAATACTGGCCGTGCGTCACGAAGTCCGACGGTACAAGACGAACTGTGTAACGGTCGAGGCCAGT